TTTTTTTTTTTTTTTTATAATGGCAGATATAACTAATGTAATACTAATATACTCGTTTTAAATATGGAAACAGCGTTATACATCGAAAAACTTTGCAATATATAGCATGTTTCTGAGAGAAATACAACTATTTAGCTAAATTTACATTTAAAATTTTGTAAAATATATTAATTTATTATCTAAGACACACACTGTTCTTTAAGAATAATTTTGTAAGCAGCATTCAGTGATTTTTATGTAACAATTATAGTTTTTAGGAATGTGCCAAAATCATAATTAATATGGAATTTATACCAATCGCGAAAATACATTTATTCTTTAGGTTTGCATGCAGGAGAATGCAGAGCTTTTGTTGTCGATGGACAACAAATTGGTCTTGTACGTCCAGATGTAATGAAAGAAATATTAAATCATCCTCAAGTGAGTTTGTTTAGTCTTTTCTTTATAACAATATATATTTATTCATTTGTATTTATTGCAATATCGATTCAAAGGTATTTCAAGTACATCCCGAATATGTACAATTAAATCCAGCGTTTCGGGATTATACTGAAAGAAGCGCACGTGTTGATGAAGTATTAAGAGAATGGAAAGCAGGTGGAAAATTTGTGACATTACGAGGCTGGAGGGAGGAATGTTATGAAGTGCGTTCTCAGTTTAATACATTGCCACTGTTTAAGATGGATCGCTCGGCTACATGTGTGTATAAGAAAAAGATAGAAATCTTATTTATTTTATTATAATTGGAAGAATTACAAATAATTATCTATGTTTTGTGGGTTTCTTGAAAAAATAGGTTTATTTGGAATTCGGAAATATGGAGTGGATATAAATGGCTATGTTATGGATCCTGTTAAAGGCTTATCAATATGGTTACAAAAACGTAGTCCTAATAAACAAACATGGCCAGCATACTGGGACAGCATGGTGAGCGGTGGATTGAGTGTTGGTTATGGCATAAATGAAACTGCGATAAAAGAGGCTGGAGAAGAAGCCGGTATTCCAAATAATCTTATTGCCAAGCTTAAGAGCGCTGGTTGTGTGTCGTTCTTTTTCGAAAGTGAAAGGGGTTTATTTCCTAACACGGAATTTGTATATGATCTCGAGTTGCCACCTGATTTTGTACCAAACAACAGCGATGGGGAGGTAGAGACTTTCGAATTACTCCCTGTTGGTGAATGCTTAGAGAGGATACTTTCTCCACATTTCAAAACTACATCTGTACCAGTTGCCCTTGACTTCTTAATTAGACATGGATACATCACAGCGGAGAATGGTAAAATTGCACTTGATAGTATATGTTCTGTTTTAAAAATTTTCAGATTTACAAAGAGCGCTGTATGACATGACTGATTTGTTGATACAATTTTGTTACAGAGCCTAACTTTATACAGATTGTGGAGTTACTTCATGTACCTCTGCAGACTATGTACAATCATCGACACAAAACTAGTAATAGAATGGCCAATGGTGAAGCAATTGAAGCTTTAGAAAAAGTTTAAATTTTTCTTTTAATTTATACTACGCTATGAATTGAAAGGCTATGAATTGAAGGAAATTAATGAGGTTGTTTCTTTTCTTTGTTTCTTCATTGGAGATGATTATTGACAAATTTTATATTAAAAAGAATTATACAATATAAGACTTTAAAAAGATTTTATAAATTATCCGCTATAGATAAAGCATTTTTATTATTGAGTTGAATATATTTCTGCATTCATTTTAATATATTGTTTTAGTTGTACATCTTATATTAACAACGAAAAAAAGCCGCTTCCTAATATGCTTCATAAACTTCACTGACTATAATACATTTGTAAGATTTTTGTAACATGTTTCTCCCTTATTTATACAGTTTCGTATGATTTATAAAAAAGAGAAAAATACAAATTTTTACAAATTTTTATATGATAAACTGAAGAGTTAACTATAGTAATATGATTTGATTGATAGAGAATTATAAAGATTATTTCTTCCGCCTATATAGTTTTTTTTCTCTTTTTCTGTAACGAATTTGATTGTAGTTAGATTATGTTCAGATATTTTTCAGCCTAATCTGCCATTATTACGTTTAGCATAACAAAATTGTATGCCAATTATAACAATATTGTGCTTGTCAATTTAACAGATGCATTGTAATAAAAGAAAATGACATTTAATGAAAATAATTTTACATACATTAAAATCGAACCAAAAGTATTATAGATGCTGCATTTCAGAGAATAGGTTTACAGATAAGATTGCGTTTAAGGACTGAAAAGTAATAAGTTTTTTCTAATCATGTGTATATATATATATATACTAAAATTTACAGTGCAAATTTCTCCTATGTAAATTTTCAGGAATATGCAAGATTTTGACAGTCTATAATATCAGAAACATTTGCATTATAAAAGTGAGAATATACATCATGTTTTATAAATTATCCACATATTTTTTTAATATATCAAAAAATTTACAGTGGAACTCTATGTGCTGAATATGTGTTCAATTGGATTTTATTATCAAAGATGCTCTTGAACATTTAACATTTTTACTTACTACTTTTTTAAAGAAAGATTTAAAGTACTTATATTATTTATTATGTAAGCAATATACTGGTATTTCACAAATTTTATTAAATGTTAAGTATTTCCAATGTTTGTAAAGTTTAAATATCATTTACATTTACAGAGACTGTACAAGTGGGAAGCACAAATTTAATGACTAATACAATAGTATATTTTTGTTTCAGATAAGATCATTATTGATATAATCAATTACATTGTATTATGTTTTCATGATATTTAAAAGTGAATTGTAATAATATTTTGATATTATTACAATTGGATTATATTTTAATTGTATATAATACTTTTTTATAATTCTCTTTCAATTTTATTTCTACAATAGCAGTTTATTAAATTGTATATTGCATTAATATTATATTATTACTTTATATAGATGCATCACTGTGACAGCATCAGTAACAATTTGTTATTAACGCCATTTATGTGATATATCTTATACTGAATTTTTAAAAATTGTTATATATATATAATATACCTTATATAAAAAAAGAGCATAAATACTAATTAATATAAAATAATATGTTTATATTCTTGTTAAATTCATGATTACAAAAATCGCATTATGTATATGAGTGTAGAATTTCATATTATATTCGTTAAAATATCAGTTATGGTAAAATATATATTAATCTTATAATACATAAATTATCACGTTTATATGCACAGAAAGGTACTTGTGAGTTTGTGGTACTTGTACCACATGCTAAAAGAAACAAAGGTTTACAAATGTTTAAGGAAGTATAAGTTTCAAACACTTAAACAATTTTTTTACAGTAAACAATAGAGAGAGAGTATTCCGTAGAATAGTTATATATTTCTTTTCGAATCTTTTAAAATATAATTTAATACTTTTGCATATATTATGCCAATGAATTGACATTGTGCTAATTATAGAATCATTAGTTTTACCAAATTTTGCAGTCAAGTGCTATAAGAACTAACTGAACTGTAATAGATTTTATAAGTTTAATACTTTTGTAATGATAATGTAATAATACACTAGTCACATGCTCATCTTTATCATTCTTTTCTTTTTTCTAACATTAATCTGGTCATCAGACACAATATTTGTGATACACTTGCTTTAAATGAGATTTCATTTCTTATTACGATTCTGTTTTGTGTTAGAGATGGATAAGAAGGACTGGTTATATATATGTGCTGACTGCATGAATGAAAATAGTATTACATTACATGGTCATACATACACCCGAAAACATACACATATATTGATCTATCATTTAGTTTTGATGAAAACAGTAAGGAATTGCGCATTTAAGATAGAAATATGTCTTGATTAACAATGAAGCTACTTTAACTGCAGGTTGTTATGTGAAATAAATTTGCAATGATCTTATGCATATACATACTTTTGTAACTTTAAGTGATATTATTTGTATGCGTCATATCTAATACTAATTAATTTGTAACTATTTAGCTTATTAATTTGTATACTATTTAGCTTTTATATTCTTTGCTGAAGTATGTATTGATTGTAAAAAGGAATTCCGGAAAATTCGCGAACCGCCAACACAAATGGATGCGAAACTAATTTTATCATAATTAATATGAATTGATAAGCGCGCAATGCAGTTCGGAGAGAGAGACAAGCGGCTTCGCCTCCTGGATTATCATACAAAAAAGCAAAGCTTCTTTGCAATAGGCACGACCGATTAATGGTAACATTTAAAAGAAATGTAGAGACTCTAAAAATTTTTCTCTCTCTTTCTCTCTCTCTCTCTCTCTCTCTCTCTCTCTCTCTCTCTATGTAATGTATTTTAAATATAATTGTGTGTGCTATTTTTCTCTGAGAAATTTCACGCTTGGCCCTTTTAATTTTAATAGATAATATTGGTCGTTTTTTGAAAATTCAATGAATAAAAAGATTTTATATTTTTAATATTAATATATAATTCGGCCGTGCCTAACCTTCAATAAAATGATAAAAAGACATAACAAACTTTTATTTTATTTCAGGATGTCTTTTAAATATTTTAATTTATATTTGTATTAATTTATATAATTAAACATAATATGCAAGTTTTGATGTTTCGAAAAAATGATACAAGACACATAATACAAAAGAGACATGTTAATAAAATAACGCAATTAACATTCTGGTGTAAAAAAGTGATTTTTCCAACATGCTAGTTTTAATTTTAAGTCAAATGTATAAAAGATTATACGAGATAATTTATTTTTTTTGCATATGTTTTTGAGAAGAAATTTGAATATGATGGATTTGATAAACTCCGATTACATATTGCTACTCCATATGCTCCCATTTTTTTGCAGATTTGCAAATAAAAATTGTATAAAGATGCGCATTGTTAAGTTCCATTAAAATACTTTAATGTTAGTAAAAATCTCGATGATAACATCGATTGCATCGAAGATGTAATTAAAAATTATAAGTGGTGTGTAGTTCTAGAATCAGATATGATTGTACTTATATAAACAATGAGAAGTATTTTGTGCTTGGTCTTATTATTATATATATATAATTCTTATCATTTATTGTTATCACATTAATTGCCAATAACCCAATGAGCTTTTTATAATTATTCTATTTAATCATTCTATTTAATCATTTTCACAATACAAAAAATATATTGACTATAACAATGATATGACATAATCACATATATCGGCAACACATGTGACAAGAAAATAATATTTGTAATTGAACATGTAATACATAATAGTACTCATCATTTTGCGTGCACTTTTTTCGATTATAAAGTTTAAAGTATATATGTGATATGTATGTGTATTATTCTATATACATAAAATACTTATTTTATAAGTAAGTCTAATTTAATTTAATTTTTCTGTTTAATTATTTATTTAATCTTTTACAATAATTGCGTTACAAAATACAAAATTTTTAAATATACATAAGTTGTTTGAGAAATAGCCGACACGATAGAAACCGATTGCTAAAGAATTATGGTTGAATGGAATGTTTTGTTCTCGCAAATGAGATCATGGAATGAATCACAATTATTAATTGTTTCTGCAATTTGCAAGTTTGAACGAACAAATATGTACTGAATATTTCCTTAACAATTACGTGTTCAATAAAAATAAATGAACGCGTGATGCCTGGGGATTAACATCTTTAACCTTCCCAGGCACTTTCATTCGGATGAAATATTGTTAACTTGACCTTAGATAGTTTCTTTGAACCAATGACATAATTCGAGCAGCTAGACGATTTCAATCGATGTGTTTGTTTATGAGCCGCTTATTCCAGT